GGAGAAATCAGTTCTTTGTTTGCTTGCCATAAAAAGCCAAAATAACAATATTAAAAGAATATTAGGAGCACACACAAGTGCTTCCATACTTGAGCCTTGCAGCATGACCAGTTACCCTTTATTTTTTCATCTGCTGAAAGTAAGATACTTGGTACTATGCACAGCTACAGCCAAACAAAGCATTTTCAGTAATTCATGTCTTTTCCTGAGTTTTAGAAGACTAGTCCTCAACTGTCATGTGGGCAGGAACACAGTAAAGGACAGTTCTGTAGGTCTAGTCAATAGCATTTAGGAAAATGAAGAAATAGATGCTATGCAAACAGACATACTTAAAATACTGTGTTAAAGACTCTAGTTTGAGCAGTGTTTCACTCAACCTCCTATTCCAACATAAACAATTAAAATCAGAGTTTGAGAGCACAGGTTAACTAGCACATTTGGGAGCATGAGCCTAAAGCCTGCTTTCACTTGTGTTTATCTTGTGTACGATCTCTGCAAAAGAAGGCTGTCAATCCCAGCCATTGGAACACCAGTTGCACTCCTCATCTGTAATTCCATGTGTCCTTGGATACATAAAATGTTCCCCATGACCGGTAGGAGAGCCACTCAAGTTACATCGTGCAAGATTCATCATCCCGTTTTGTCCCAAGTCTAAGCAGTACAAACACGTTGCCATCCCCAGAATAGCAGTGCCTCTTGGCTGGGTTTGTGCAGCCCTATTCTTCATCCTGGGATAGGTGCCCACAGGGAAGTGCCCAGGCCAGCTACAGCCAAAACTGATTCTGTTACAGAAACATAATCCTGGGCCACACCCATTTCTGCCAACTGTTCTCACTACTGATGGCAGCATGCATTTAGCATTTTAATTTACAATAACGTTTTAAACGTACTTAAATTGAAAATCAAAGCAAAAGCTGCATGCAGCATCTCCCCTTGTAGGGCAAAGGGTGCTAGTTTGGTCACATAGACACTGCTAAGTGTTCCACTACACTTGTCCTCCCATTCTCTAAACCAAGATTAAATAGTTTTAGTACAGGAGAGGCCATGCCAGCTGTTTGACTATAAAAAAAAAGGAGCAGCATGGGGAGAGGACATCACAGATAATTTGGGATCCATCATCTGTTATTAGGTCACTGGATTCCCACATACCATTGTGGTCAAACTCCCTCTAGCTTCCACACAAAGCTGCTGTTGGCAGAAACTCTTATCCCAGAGATAACAGCTCTGCTTGGACCCAAACTAACCCATCTAGCTCTGCCCAATCAGTCTCAAAATACATTCTCCACCATCGCTTCCTAGACTGACAGTCTGCAAGCAGGTTTTTTTCTGGGGTTTCACTCATTCTATGTTAAGAAATAGAAGAAACCATAACTTTAACCTGGAAGAGGGCTGAAAACCCAAGCAAATAATATAAACTATTTAACATTTCCATGCAACAAACAGTTAAGGTAGAGAATTTGATGACTAACACAGTGAGTGGTGTTTTCCATGTGTGACCCCTGCTAGGAGATGGGACATGCAGCACAGGATTATGTTCAAAACTGCAGTTTTTTCTCCTGATACCAGCAAAGTCATGCAGTCAGAACTCAGATAATTTTGGCAATCTCCTGAAAGCAGAAGAAAGAAATAATCCTCAGCATGATTCAGACTCTTGAAGAAATTCAAATGGTTGCCAAGTCAAAAATGTCATAGAATCGCAGAATTGTTTAGGTTGGAAAAGATCATTTGAGTTCAACTGTTAACTCACCACTGCCAAGTCCACCACTCCTTTATGTCCCCAGGTGCTGCGTCCACACATCTTTTAACTACCTCCAGGGATGGCAATACCACTTCCCTAGGGTAGCCTGGTCCAATACTTGACAATCCTTTCCAAGAAGAAATTTTTACCAATATCCAATCTAAACCTCCCTTAGCACAACTTGAGGCCATTTACTCTTGTCCCAATGCTGGCTGCCTAGAAGAGGCCAACCCCCACCTGGCTACAGCCTCCTTCCAGGCAGTTGTAGAGAGTCATAAGGTCACACTTGAGCCTCTTTTTCTCCAGGTTGAACACCCACCTCCCTCAGATATTCCTCCAAGAACTGGTTCTCTACAGAGTCATGGATTCTCCTGACACAGCACGTGCATTCAGCAGGTAACTTTTAAGAGCACACATTCTGCAGTACACATACACACACACAGACTCCTCCAGCCTCTCCAGAAAGCAGCATGATAGTGTCTGGTTATGATTAACACAGCCTCTGAGTAATGCCACATGTTAACAGCCTGTCCTGCTGGTGACTCAGCCCATGGCTGCAGAACGTGTGCAGGGTGCAGATGAAGCCAACATCAGAGTTCAGCAAATGAACTGGCATCAAGTGCTGCAGGTTTGGCTTGGAGCCAGCAGCAAGCACTCTGCCTTGCCTTGCCACGCAGGCAAGTGTGTATGTGTGTTTTTCTCACCTTCCTGCACTAGCTGTCTTTTTGAAGATATCTGCACTCAATTTGGTTTCTTGGTATGCAGTAAGGCTGTGTTCATCAGCAAGACAAAACCACACTGCATGGGTGCCATTAACCTTGTTCAGATGTCCCTACAATGGCCACATGGCAGTTTCTAGATGAATAATCTTATTATTGGACAGAAGGAAGTAGAAGTCTAATCTCCACAAAGCTGCTTAGTTTTACTGGGCAATATAGCTCAGCCAGAGACAAAAAACAGGTGCAGGAACAGACAGGGCTCTGGAAACTCACTGACTAATTAACAAAAAAAGAAGCTGATCTCCAATGAAACACTTCGTTCGAGTGTAATCTTAGAACAGTTAAAGGCATTTGTACCCCTCCAGTTTAAGGATGCTACTAAGCAAAGCCATGTTTTGCACTTAGTATAGAACTGAGTGAACACAAGGAGAGCTCTGAGCACAGGAAGTGTCTGAACCAGGACAGACACAAGGCCAGGATTTATGTACTTTGTACTCCTATGTACTTTGAAGTAGCTTGCATAGGAAGGGTTTGATTTGCACTTGACTTGCCACCTACCCATGTGGGAGGTTGCCAAGAATGAAATACACACAAAGTCCCAAGACAGCTAAGGTTGATAATTTCCTCTTCAAGGACTTTTCAGACAAGCTCTTTTGCATGGGTTCAAAAGAACATGCCACAGGCACTCCAGAAAGCATTATTCCAGCCACATGAAATTAGTAACTTCAAAATAAAGAATACTTTCTTGCCAAAGGCTGAATTTTTTCCAAGCCTAGTAGATTAACTAAACATGGTCTCAAGTCCAGGCTGTTCAAGATATCTTCTACTATCTTGCAGGCATCTAGAGAGTTGAATTATCTAATATAATTCATTACCTTCAATTAATGAGTTGAGAATTTCTCCTGACCACCACCATTTACCAGGCTGCAGCAGAACAAGCCTGACACACATGGGACAGAGGTAAAAGCTCAGACAGCTTCAGATCCCTGACAGACTGTAATCCAGTCAGTATAAATTATAAATAATTTATTATAATAATTTATATATTTCTACACACCTACCAAGGTCTTTCTTATCTCCAGGTTTGTCTTTCTGTGAGGTATAAGTATCACATTATCGTGTTGCTCAACAAGACCTCTGATGAGCGGTGAGAAAACCTCTGATGAGAAGATGTTGCATGGGAAGGTTCTGACTGAGGGGCAAGTCAGCATTGGGGTGCTCTCTGTATAGCAGTAATTGCTTCACTCTACTGTGGAAAGACTGGGTTTGAATTGCTATTATGAGTGGACCCATATAATTTTGGAGACTGCCAGTCATAATGAGCAAAACCACTTTATTTCCAAAAAACCCAAACAGCTGACCGGAAGTCATACCATATTCTAGCCAAACCCAGGTCATAATACTTTTATGAACTCTTTGTATTTACATTAGGTAAGACTGGTCAGCAGGGGAGATGATCCAAACAGGTTTAGCCATTAAAAAACTGCATAATAGATCAAAACTGAACACCAAGCTTCTGAAATAGCTTTATTTTAAAATAAAATTAAAAACACATCTACACCATGCTGAACAGCCACCCCTTTTATGTGTGTGTAGTTGTAGGGGTTTTTATTTAGTTTGAACAATTGGTCCACTCATTGTGGATGTTATACGATTGCCAAGAGAGTGCAATAATTAAGAATGCAACAAAGACAAAAAAGCAAATTAATCTGAGGTCTGTAAAAATTATGGAATGTACACATTTTGTTAGCAACTTATGTCCAGGACTAGAGTTTAATTATACAACTACATTAGCAACAAAATTCCATAAAGTTGTTAATGTCTTCTGTGGTACTACCTGGCAGGGGGAGAACAACAAAATCAATCTTTCATGTTATAAACCTTATGTTAAGAGTGAAGAAAATTTGTCATAGTTGACTTGGAACAATTTCAACTAAAACACCATCACCAAATGAAGCATTATGAATTGATTTTATCGCTAGTATTTACTGTCCCTTTGCTTTTCTCACTCTTACCTCTCTAAAAATAAAAAAATACGGAAAAATAAAAAGGAATTTGAAAATTCAATTTGATCTCCTGTTTTGTGCTTAGTGGGCCAAGCCCCAGTGTTTAAGGGTATTTTTTACTTTACCTTAAAATAGGTTTTGCACATCTCATTAAATCAGACATGTTTTATTATGGATTTTTATAAGGCTTATGAATTTAAAAGTATTATAAACTTTATACATTTTATAATGTTTATAATACTTTTAATGTAGCTGAATTTAAATAGCATCTTCTTTTCAAACACACTTGTCACTGGGTTAATTTTTTACGACAACACATGAGTCAAGTACCATATTAAGTATTTTTTAGGCATACTGAACATCATTCTACTTCTTGTCCCAATATCTCTCTTACAGCTCCTATTGAGAAGTCTTTAACTTGCACCAGACAAGCATCCTACAAAAGCAACATCCCGTGTACAAAGCAGCCAAGTAAATATTCAGTACCGGGTAATTAACAGATTGTTTTTATCATTTAGATGGAAAGAGCATACTTACTGCTACGAAGAGCATGCAGTACATGGAGAATGAAGAATGGCCAGAATAAAATGATAGTCTAGAAAAGAAAATATCAGACATCATTAGTTTTCTTTTACAATATTCAGTCTACTAATATTCAGTCTATTCAGTGATACTAATCTATATTATACAAGTGCACTGGTAAAAGGCAAACATGTCCATACTACTCTTCAAGGAGACTCCCTAGGCACATCACACAGATTTTGACAAACCGTACAGATTCACTACTCAGCAGTTATCCTTTTCCAGATTTAAATTGATTTCTACATCAGGCAGAAAATACTAGACTTTTGATTGAAGTTTGAACAGCAAGGGAGCACATCTTCAAAGACAGTAATCAAATGTCCTTTAATCTTGACAAATGCCAGAATACTTTCAATATAATTACTTCTTAACATTCCTCATCTTATAGTTCACAGTATATGTATGAATACATTAATCACCCCAAAACAATTACTTGCATTTAGTCACCATCAAGAGGCAGTAGTTAACAACTCATACCTAGTAGTTTATATTACATTTGTACATCTTTGTGAAATATATGATTCACAGAGACCCTGATCATTTATCTTTGAAGAGTAGGGGGGAAGGAAGGAATGTGGTTTATTAGCCAGCCAACTTCAAAAGATTACACATCATCTAATATTTGCAGAGATGATTTGTATCTCATTTAAAGTGTCAACATTGCCTTCAGCTCCCAAAGGCTTTTATCTGGTCCAGGCTGAAGGGACTTGACAGGTGATGCTGATAGTCCAGGATTCTTTTGGCCAAGTCCTCCCCTACAAAGCTGGTTTTGTGAGGAGCCACAGCTGTAAAATAAATGGCAACATCCTCTTCAAGAAGAGAAGGCAAAATGGAAAGACATTTCTAATTTAGTCTTAAGCAGGGAGACGAAAGAACTGTATTTAGCACTACTTTTTTCCACTTTATGCACAGAGCCTTGTAATGGTGCTCCTTCACAGGCCACCAGCCAGGTCTCACCCAGCCTTCTGTGCAATTTAACCAGAACACTCCTCCTTCAGCAGTTTGGCATACAAAACATGGCCATGTGAAACAAAGTTTCATTGCTCTGCAGACTGACCTCTACCATATGGAGTAGGTCCCTTGTTTTGGTGCCTCTACCAGGCAGAGACCCCGAGGCCAGAGAAATTCCTGGTCAAGAGAAACTTTTCCACTCTTTGGACTAGGAGTAATGAAGGCAGCTCTGACGTGCTGCAAGATAATGAGGTTAAAGACACTACTCACACACACAAATACCACAAAGAAGGCAATGAAACTGTCTTGTGCACAAGTGAAGCTGCAAAACTTCCTCAATTAATTTGCACTTATAACATATAGAAACTGCATCAGAAAAAGCCTACATAGGTTTATTCAAGAGGTTGCAGAGCTTTTGCTTTATGGCTGACTTAAAACACGTGTGAAGAGCTCTTGGTTTCAGAAGTACTAAATAAGCAATCTGAAATAAGATGACTTTTGTTTCATCAACTGGTATTTTCCAATTAACTTCTTAAAGAGAAAAACTTTGACAATGTACTAGCTTCAGATGCTTAAAGTTCAAAACTATTAAGATTACCATTCCCATTAGCAAAACCATTAGCAAACATCTCTTTTCCACTCTTGTACTCTAACACTTAATATTTCTAGGCAAGAGTCCACTAGGAAAACCAATACAACAAGCATTTTGAAGAGCACTGTCCTTCAAACATGTCATCTGAGAACAGAAAGCATGCTGTTCTATGCAAGATACAGAATAAGGAATTCTTGGCTCCTATAACAATATTTTACCCAATAGCTCTGAGGCTATTACTGCTGGCCATAAGATGACATTTCCTACATTTATTGAAAGCAACCTGTTGCCAGTTGAAGGAATTTAGAAGACTAGTAAGTGATAAAAGGAAAAAATACCATTATTTAAGTTAGTTTTGGAATTCCTACACCCTGTTAAGAGTTCTTGACTACTAGTCTTTTTTGTTTCAGGAGTGTATTAGCCTAAGGTACATTAAGAATGCCTTGTGCCAGATTGAAGATTACAAATTTTCAATGCATTCTTACTGGGCATAGATAAGTACACAGTACATGACCAAAAATATTGTGCTTAGCACATTAATTATTGCCAGAAATACAACTGGGACAAAGTACTGATCCAACTTCCACATTGTGCAATCCCACTGAAATTTCTTTTGCAATACAGCTGTCTCTAGACTTCTTTAAGATACAGACGTTTAAAAAAAATAAATCTTAAAATCCTTTCAAAACACTAAGATCGACAATGAAAAATTTCCCAACAATTCATCAGCACATAAATAACATCTTCCCAAAGCCAGGAGAATGTCACATCTATCAGACCAGCCAAGCACTTGCACAGCCCAGGTTTCTTTGTGATGCTACTACAAGTGCTGGTTTGCCATGAGCCAGCAGTAAAACAGTATAGACAACTCTCCAAATCCCTACCTTTCACCAGTGAAAGAAAGGCTAACTTGTCCCAGTAGGAATTCAAACATCAGATTCCAAGATATCCTTTTCAAAATAGTCTTGGAACAATATCCAGTGAAACTAAGTATCATGAAATAGAGCTGGCAAGTGTAGTAGTCTTGATCTGATTGTTTCCAAAACGGCCAATTCTGACATCAAAAAAACCAGTTTTTCAGAGGTCCATGTCTTTCACTTCACTTTCATTCACAGATCTCTTCCAAAGTCAGGAAGAGGGCTTCATTTTAACAGAAAGAAAGCATAAGCTTTAATTACTTCCACTTGGACATTATATTATTCCCAAGTCAGAAGAATACTTTAAGTAGTAACATAAAACCAGCTTCAGGTCTCAGTTGAGGTCTAAAGTATACTCCTAGTTTCCAGTGTACACAGTAGAGCTTGACATCACAAAAATGTCTTAAAACAAGGTAATTTAAGGGCTGTTTTGCTTTCTTTACGCTTAGTTTTGTAATGAATTTCACATGGCTTCTAATAAAGACAAAAGACACAATAGCTCCTAAAAAGGTCGTCATAAGATTGACTAAAATATATCACTATGGATTATTACTGAATGTCTGCATTTTTAAAGAATACCTGGAAAAATAATCAAAGTACAAATAATTCCTACAAGAAGCATATCAGCTGAATGACTTTGTTATTTTAGTCAGGATTTCTAAGCCCAGATAAGCAAGACCAAGAGAGATTGCCTTGGAGGACTTGACACTGACAACCTTCCATTACTTTCCATGCACAAGGCCAGCTTAGCATAGGGAGCAGAGCTAGCCCGACAGGTTAAGTTTCCTCAATTAGTAGAAAAATGGAACATAGTACACAGCTCATAAAAGGATTGTTTGCCTAGACTGTGACTTACAAGAGAGAGTATGTTTTAAGTTCTGCTTGGCACTATTTTGTAGAGTGCATGATTTCTTAAGTGAATTACTGCACACTGGAACACAGTAAACGAGCCTGATATCTTGCTTTCATTTAATGTCTTCACATGAACACCTGAATGTGCAGAAACTTTAAGACAAATGCAGGAATCTGACAGGGAAATGAATAGCCTTGGGAAACACAAGGATAGAGAACAGCTAAACACATGGTACAGTGGAGCATTAAGTGGTGAGAAATTAAAGTAAATGACAGTAAAAAGATATGCCACAAAAAAGGGCATCCTGTGGTGCTATAATAAACCTGGCAGAGGCTGAATGATAACAAAATATTCCCAATGTAACTACAGAATTATGGAATGATCCCTTGGAGAAAAACAGAAGGCTCAGCAAAACGTTATGCACACTGCCATATCAAAGCAAATAAATACACCCAGCTGGATTAGCCAGCATGGCCTTTCCATCTTCAACTTCCCTGGATTCTCCCAGTCTGACCCAAAGCTTCCACTGACATTTATGTTACCCATTCCATGATCTGGAGGGGAATAAATGCCATTGTGCTACAGCTCAGCTTGCCTGCGTGTGTGAGTAAGCCAACACCTGTCACAAGCAAGCCACATGCTTGTCAGTGAAATATTCCTAGTATTTCAGTGACATGGTTTAAAGTGCTAGTTCTACACTTAAACACCACATTCTTTAAAGTCCATTTTCCCTGTGTTCAACAATCAACTTGTTCTCCCAGGATCCACTCTTCCCTCATGTGCTGGACTTGCACCACTGCAATTTGCAAGATCAGTGTGGGCTGGAAGGCTGAAATTAAGCACTTTTGTCATTACTGCAAAGAAAAGCTTAAATACAAAAGCAGTTCACCTACTGAACAATACCACGAACTACTCAGAACCCCACGTTCCCAATTTCTCCACTTTTTTCCTTTTCTGCCAGTAATTATACCCACACTTCAGTACAAAGCCATGCATTTACACATAGGAAGACACTACCAGAATCTTCACAATTCAGCAATCTTCATCTGGAAAATTTTATACACAGTTTTTTCAATAGGAGACCTAACATTTAGTAGCAAGTATCTTGCATAATTTTCTATTCATATCTGGGGTGAAGGATGGATCTACCCAGCTCTGCTTTATGCAGTAGTGGCAGATAGTGAGGAAACTACCAGTGCTGGCATGTAATACACATTATTTAATACCATGACCATGTTTTTGTAGACTTTACACTTTTGTTCTTTTACAGTCTATCACACACAATTAGATTTCCCTGCTTATCTTACTGACATAAACCCAATCTAACAGGTTGTAAGAAGAGACAGATATTTACTAATTTCTAACCACCAGCCTTTGAAACAAAAACTGCAGACTGTGCAAGAAACAGAAGTATAAAGTACCCAAGCTCAGGATCAACAAGAAGCAGTCTTAATCAGCAGTAAGTACTACAATGGTTGTCTTTACTGTTAGACTGACCACATTCCAAAGTTGGTTAAAAGCTTCTGCTGGCATGATTTGATGGGTGTTTGTTTGTTTCTTTACTATCTGGGAATTGAAGAAATTAACTGATGATACATTCAAGTGTGCAGATATTCTGTAAATGCTATTTAAATAAAAGTATTACACACCGACAGAACAGCCTAACAGAACAATGACTACCTAAGCTAGCTATTTTGCAT